TGTGAGGTGTGAGGTGTCGGTCTGCACCTGGGGGGTGTCTCCCAGTTAGGCTACTCAGGGGTCAGGGACCCACTTGAGCAGGCAGTCTGTCTGTTCTTAGATCTCAACCTCCGTGCTGGGAGATCCACTGCTCTCTTCAAAGCTGTCAGACAGTGGCATTTACCTCTGCCGAGGTTTCTGCTGCTTTTTGTTTAGCTATACCCTGTCCTCAGAGGTGGTCTACAGAGGCAGGTGGGCCTCCTTGAGCTGTGGTGGGCTCCACCCAATTCGAGCTTCCCAGTGGCTTTGTTTACCTACGTAAGCTTCAGCAATGGTGGGTGCCCCTCCCCCAGCCTCGCTGCAGCCTTGCAGTTAGATCTCAGACTGCTGTGCTAGCAATGAGGGAGGCTCCGTGGGCGTGGGACCCTCCGGGCCAGGTGTGGGATATAGTCTCCTGATGAGCCATTTGCTAAGATCCTTTGTAAAGCGCAGTATTAGGGTGAGAGTTACCCGATTTTCCAGGTGTTGTGTGTCTCAATTTCCTTTGGCTAGGAAAAGGAATTCCCTTCTCCCTTGCGCTTCCCAGGTGAGGTGATGCCTTGCCCTGCTTCAGCTCTCGCTGATTGGGCTGCACCTGCGGACTGGCGCCAACTGTCTGACATGCCCCAGTGCGATGAACCCGGTACCTCTGTGGAAAATGCAGAAATCACTTGTCTTCTGTGTTGCTCACGCTGGGAGCTGGAGGCTGGAGCTGTTCCTATTTGGCCATCTTGGGCATGCCCTGACCATCCCCCACCATGAGAAAATATTTTAAAGAATCCCACTGATATTTATGCAGATGAAATATTCAATTGGAGGCACATAATGGCTGGTTGTCTCTCTTTTTACATCACAATTAGTCAGTGGGTTCAGGTAGCTTTAGTCAGATTCCTCCATTGTAAAGTGCCCCATTAGTCTTTCACCTAATGGTTTTAAGGACCCCTGATAATCTTGCTAAAATCCATTATTTCATTAGGTGCTGCAAAATGGTGATTTAAAAAAAATCTTTCTTCTGATTAGATGGAATGTTTTTATAAAGAACTTTACCATATCAACTATTTGTTGACCCTGAAATATAGTTTGGCAGGATGAACACTTGATTCTTTTCTGATTTATAAATTTTCAAAGTAAGGAATGGATGCCCTATCAACTTCCAGTAGTGACCAATAAGTTTGGTTTTTTGTGTATTTTATGATCTCATGGATTTTTATATATTTGATGTGTTTCACTCCATTTCAGTCTTCTTTTTGATACAAATTGATCCCTTTTACTTGAGACTGACTTTTGTACTTTTGACGTGAGCCAAGTAGTCTTTTATCATATGTTTGCATTCTGGTACAAGTTGACCCGGGTTCATTTTGTACATGTGGTCTTTGGTTCTCTTTTCTACAGAGGGGTGCATCAATCCATTCATTCATTCCAATTATGGGTCAGTGATGTGCTAGGAAAGATCTATTTTTCTCTCCATCCTTAGAATGGCTACTTTTATCTTAGCCAATAACTGCCAGGATTTTTTCTGATTATTATTGGGGAAAAAAACTTACCCAAAGACAGTATTATCACTTACACATTTTTTGGCTAATATGAGTGATTAAAAATGGGATCCTAAAATAATGGAAATTTATTTGATTTCTAGCAAAGTTAAGTATTTTTATATTTATTAGCTATTTGTATACACTCTTTGTAAATGATGTATTTAGGACCTCTGTCCATTTTCTGTTGGCATCTTATTGTTTAAAATTATAGGAATGATTCTTCACGGTTTAAAATATTAAATCTTATTTTGTCATAGTTGTTGAAGTGTTTTCCAAAATATGTTTGCCTTCTACTTTTGTAATTACTTTTCTTGACCCATTGAAGTTTTAAATTTTCATGTAGCCAGATCAGTCAGACTTTATATTTCTTATTTTTTCCTATTACTTTCATACTTAGAATGCCCATCTCTTCCAAGAGCTGATGTATACTTTTATAACTAGTATTACAATGTGTAATCCGGTCTTAGGATTTGCAATATCTACCTATATTTTCACTTTAGGGTTTTCTCATGGGATGATTTTTAAAACTGTATGAATATACTTGGAGTTCATTCTCACCTGTATTGTTAGGTGAAGATCTAAAATTTATTTGCAAATAACCAACTAGGTTTTTTTAGTGATTTTTATATCCTAGTTATGAAATATTAAGTGTTCCTACATTATAGGCCTGATTAGGAGCTTTCTTCTTTGTTCTATTGAGCTCCAAGCCTATTGCTCTGATAATACCATGCTGGTTTATTGTTGAGGTGATTTATTATGTCTAATTATCTGGTGGAGTTAGGTTCCTCTCGTTTCTCTTCCCCAAACTCTGACTCCCAGTTTTTCTTTGCTGTTCTCATTTATTCTCCAGAAGGTTTTTAGAAACTTTTCTAAGCCCTTCCCCTCACTTATAATTTTTTTTTGAGACAGAGTCGTGCTCTGTTACCCAGGCTGGAATGCAGTGGCGTGATCTTGGCTCACTGCAACCTCCACCTCCCGGGTTCAAGCAATTCTTCTGACTCAGTCTCCCAAATAGCTGGGACCACAGGCGCACGCTGCCACGGCTGGCTAATTCTTGTATTTTTAGTAGAGACAGGGTTTCACCATATTGGTCAGGCTGGTCTCAAACTTATGACCTTGGCCTCCCTAAGTGTTGGGATTACAGGTGTGAGCCACTGCATCTGGCCTCACTTGTAATTTTGATTATAATTATTTTAAACTCATAAATTAATCTGGGAAGGTAGTTATCTTTACAATATGCAGTTTCTTCAACTAGAAATATTTCCCATTCTTTTAATTTATTTTTTGTTTTATTCTGTTGTATGCATATTATGTTGCAGTTCTGAAACATTTGTTAATTATGCATTCTTAGTAGTATATAATTCTTGCATACGGCAGTTCAGACTGATTTTAAATAATGTTGGAAAGTCACATACAATAATAAGCAAATTAATAATAGCATAAAGGAATCCACCTCTAATTTTGAGAAAGATTGCTTGTATTGTAGAAAGCAATTGTTAGCATATAATGTAAAATAAGAGTCTAGAATTCTGTTAAGCACTGTAAGTTTTTCAGTTGTATATACTACCCCTATTCAACTATATTTAATTTTTTTGTTTGGGAATGCTTTTCTTTTTTGTACTTAAAAGCTCTGCAATTTGTTGATCTTTAGGTTATCATGCAAGAAGTTCTCAAGGCTTTTTGATTTTTGTGCAATAAAGTACATCTTTGCATAAGAGTGAAATTGGGCTAGCTTAAATGGATCCATAAACTTTCTTCTAATTTTCAGTGAGAATCTTTTAAACACCTGTTAAATTTAATGTAGCAGTTTGATAATCTAAAATTATATACCACTTGTTTATTTGTTCATTCATCCATCCATTTTCCCGTGAATATTTCATTTGTTTATCCAGCTAGTTTTATTAACTGTTTCAGTCCAGGCATTGGGATATAATGGTAAGCAAGATATCATTCCCGTGGAAACTTCTTCCAGGCACTAAAGATATAAAGGATGAATTAGAGGAACATAAAATTGGCGGATATTGAATAGTTAAAGGCAATGGCCATAGGGGTGGCAAAGAGGAAGTAGAGATAGAGTCATTAGGACTTAGTGTCAATTAAATATGGGGTGAGTAAGAGAAGATGGCTTTGGGATGTCCTCAAGTGCCTAGATTATTTATTTATCATGCTTTTATTGGAGGACTGTCATGTTTTAGGCATTGTTATGTTTCAGGCATTGTGTAAATGCAGGAGGATATAAGAAATAAGCCACATCAGTACGTAGATTATAGAGGGGAAAGTATTAGGTTGGTGCATTGCTTTTAGTGGCAGAAACAGCAATTACTTTGGCACCAGCCTTGTAGAATGGTTGTGACTGGGGTGGGAGTGTGCATATAGAGAGAAAGATTATGAATTCACTTTCAGGCCTGTTGAGCTGCCTGCCTGGTAGATTTACAAGTGGAAGTAATGGATATTCAGATAGAGAGTTCGAGAGAGTCATTGCTGGACATACAATCATCATTGTATAGCTGGCAATTGAAATCGTGTATTAGAAGGTCTTTCAAAAAGAGTCCTTAGTGAGAAAAGAAAGGGAGAATTGGAATCTTGAGGAATAACAGTATTTTTTGTTAGAGAAGATGAACCTGTGAAGAAGACTAAAGTGGAGTAATCAGAGAGAGAGAAGGGAACTTGGGACAGTGTTTCACAAAAGCCAAGAAAATTTTCCAGGCAGAATGTTCAACTGTATCTAAAGTCAAGTCAAGGGTCAGTAAGATAAGGATTTAAAATGTCCACTAAATTTTGTAATTAGGATATCATCATTGATCATGTGAAACTATTTCTGTGGGGAAGTTGAATAATAGAAATGGTGTGACCCCTACACATTTTTTTTTTGTTGTTTTTTAAACCTTGGCCTTGCAGAGAGGTTAGAGAAACTTGAAAGACAGTATCAGGATTTGTAGCATTAATGAAGGGTTACCTTCGGAGAGGAAAACAAGTATAGTAAGGAATATTTGTAGAAAATGGAGAAATTCGAAGAGCTGTCTTCCTCTGTCAGCTAAAAGTTTCTTAGCAGCAGGGGTTGATTTACTCACCAATGTGTTTAGTGCCTAATGTGTAGTAAGTAATCAGTAAATATTTGCTAAACAATCGAGCCCAATAAAAGAGTTGAACAATTTTGTTCATCCCAAGTCTAAAGTGTAGCTTCAGAATTTAGTCACTTCTGGAGCTTAAGATTTACTTTTGTTCTCTGTCATTAAAAATTAAACCTGTAGTCAAAAAATTAACCTTCTAAAGGCATTTAAAAAATTCTTTTAGAATAAGCTCTGCTTTATAGTATAGTCTGTTTGTCATAGTACTGCACATGCCTAAGGTTTGCTACTTTATTTTTTATGGTGTACTTTTTAAAATTTATTTTTTTGTAGAGACGGGGTCTCACTATGTTGCCCAGTTGGTCTTGAACTCCTGATCTCAAGTGATCCTCCCACCTCAGCCTCCCATGCCTGTTGGGATTACAGGCATGAGACACCACATCCAGCCCTTTTATAGTGTATTTTAAGTTCTGCTTTGGTTATCTCCTTTTGAAACTTTGCAAATGCTGAAGATTTATTTGAATTTTGTTACTTACAAAGTTGAAACATTTTATTTTATTATTAATTTTGAGACAGAGTCTCCCTTTTTCATCCAGGCTGGAGTGCAGCAGCACAATCACAGCCCATTGCAGACTTGACCTCCTCTATTCAAGCAATCCTCCCACCTCAGCTTTCCAAGTAGACACACACCACCAAGCCCTGCTGATTTTTTATACTTTTTGTAGAGGCAGGTTTTCACCATGTTGTTAATCTGGTCTCAAACTTCTGAGCTCAAGTGATCCGCCTGCCTCAGCCTCAGCCTCAGCCTCACAAAGTGCTGGGATTACAGGCACGAGCCACTGTGCCCGGCTGAAACATTTTAATAAGAGCAGTTAACCATACCTTTTCAACAGGAATCGATTTGGGAACTGTACCTATCTTTTTTTAATGATGTGAAAACTTCCTTATTCGTTTGTGATAGGTATCCTGTAAGCCACTCCATTTGTAGTGAAACTAATTCTTTCATTCTGTATTTAATGCTTTACTATCTGTAATCTGAGATCAGAAAGACTCATAATCAAATTAATGTACCCTAATTGTTTACTTCGATAACATATTTTCTGTGCATTTTCTTTATATTAGAGTCAAGAGAATATGAGTCTAAAATATAATTTTTTTGCAAAAATATGAGTCCTAAGGTTTTTTTTTAGATTTCTTCTTTGTTGATTACAGTTTTTATTTCTGTTCCATAGATATATATGTGACATATAAAATAAATTAGAAAGAGAAGATATACAATACTATCTAAAGTGACTACGTTTTTCTTTTAGGCTGGGATATGAAGAACAACAGCCTGAGGTTCCAATTCTTTATCATGATGTAACATCCCTTTTGCTCATCCAAATCTTAATGATGCCACAACCCTTACGCAAAGGTATGTCTCTATAATTCAGATTCTTTGATTATATACTATGTATTTTGAATATTCTAGAGAGTATAGAGACAAATAGGCTAGGTGTGGTGGCTCATGTTTGTAACCCCAGCACTTTGGGAGACTGAGGCCCATGGGTGGGTTGCTTGAGCCCAGGAGCTCGAGACCAGCCTGAGCTATTAATATAGTGAGATGCTGTCCAGAAAGAGAAAGAGAAGTAAATATAGCAGTAAGTCTGATGGATATTTTTTGTGGTAATAACAGATATTGTTTTTTCTGTTATTAGCAAATAGTAATCATATCTAAAAAAATGACAATGAAAAAGTGTTTTTTAAAATTCTTGTGGGTCTGTTCTTTTCAGCTTTTTAGTCACTAAGAGGTAAAGATGTGAGGAAAACACTCTGAAAATGGCTTAAAAAATTGAAGTGATGATACAAATGAAAATTTGAAAAACAGAGCAAACTCAGCCTTAGTGCCTTTATCTATATGTGTACATATTTTAATATAGTAGTAATTGTAGAGTTATTAAAAATATAGTCTTATCATTTTTAGTGTTAATATCATAACATTATTATGTTAACAGCATCAGTATTATGTTAGCAACATTTTAATTATTGCTTCTTGGTCTTTGTAGCTTTCACTTGAAGACAACATTTTAAATAGTCTATCAGATAATTAACATCTTGTATATTAGAAAACAAGTTTTTATCAGTAGAATGAACATCTATGGGTGTATAAAGTTCTTGTTCCTAGGGATGACATTGTTTATACAAACTCCAGCTTGATCTTTGATAAATCTTTTTACCTAAGGGTGTGAAATAATCATTTAAAAATATATAGGCAAATTATGATATTTCATGCAAGTTATGACATTCTGTAAAACAATATGATTAATAAACAAGCATAATATACTAGCGCTGTGAGCTTCAATTAATATTTTTAATTATGAAATTCACATAAAATAAAACTTACTATTTAAACAATTTAAAGTGTACAACTGAAGTGTCATTTAGTACTGTCATAGTATTGTGTGATCATCACCATTAGTTAGTTCCAGAACATTTTCATCAGCCCCAAAGGAAACTCTATGCCTGTTAAGCAGTCACCTTCTTGTTTTCTCCTTCTCCCAACCCTTGGAAACCACTAATCTGATTTCCTGTCTTCATGGATTTGCCTATACAGGATATTTCATATTAATGAAATTATACATTACATTGCATTTTGTGTCTGGCTTCTTTCACTTAGCATGTTTTCAAGGTTTATCCACGTTATAGCATGCATTATTACTTCATTTATCTCGATGGCTTGGTAATATTCCATTGTATGGATATACAACATTGTTTATCCATTTGTCAGTTGATGGATTATTACCAACACAACTGATGGATCAGTTGGGTTATTACTGCCTTTTGGCTATTGTGAATAGTGCTGCCATGAACATTGATATAGAAGTTTTTGTTTGAGGCCAGGTGTGATGGATCACTTGAGGCTAGGAGCTCATGACCAGCCTGGCTAATATGGTGAAACCCCTTCTCTACTAAAAATACAAAAATTAGCCTGGCATGGTGGCACACACCTGTAATCCCAGCTATTCAGGAGGCTGAGGCACAAGAACCACTTGAGCCCGGGAGGTGGAGGTTACAGTGAGCTGAGATCACGACACTGCACTGTAGCCTGGGTGACAGAATGAGACTCTGTCTCAAAAAAAAAAAAAAGTTTTTGAACACGTTTTTTTCTTTTTTGGGGGATGTATAGCTAGAAGTGGAATTGCTGGATCATATGGTAATTCTGTTTAACTTCTTGAGGTAATTATATATTTAACTGCAAAAGTTCAGATACTTTTGAATGTTACTTTTTTGGAGGGTTAGGCTGTGTCTGCTAATATAATCATTTGTGTTTATAGAGCTTAAAAACCTGTTAAATAGTCTCATTAAAATTAATCTCCTTGTAAAATTAGTTTCAAATTCTTTAGGCTTTTTGTGTCACTTTGGTTAGTTTTTGTTATTCTAGGGAAACAGTTGCCTTGCATGCTGGTTTACTCCTGATTGTGCTCTTCTAATTATATTAGTAGTATTACATTTTGAAATATTTAAAAAATTACTTTATTATATCTTCAAAATATTTAAATATATTATTTAAATATACCTTTTACTTACAAGCTTAGTTATTACATAAACCTGAAAAGGTAAAAGGGAAGGAAACTTGACATAGAGAAGATTGTCTCTATGTCATTATTTAATCTATATTAATATTTAATCTAAAGAGAAAAATATTTTAGTTAAGAGTAAAGGACCTGTTGTGTCAGTGTCTGAGAGCTGTAGCTGGTGCATCATCCTCCTTGTCAGAAGTCATTGTTGGCACTGGCTTTCAACAGAAGACGAAGTTCATGCTGAAAGAGGATGCAATACCTGAAATTAACCAAACCTAGTGAATTTAATTCAGTAGAAACAGAGTCTAAAAACTATGTTCTAAAATGAGTCAAGAAAATTGATCTCCTTAGTAATGGTTAATAGAATAAATTCAGGAAATCATCAACATAAAAATGTATAATATTGTTAATAATCATGCCTTAAAGTAATATCATTAAAGAACAGTTTCTTGGTGGACAAATTTAATAAGCAAATTTAATAAATTCATTGCTTGATTCAGTTCAAGAAATACTTAATAAGTACCTACTGTTTACCAGGTTGCTATGCTTCTTTGCCAAGTGCTGGATACACAAAGATGACTAAAACATGGACTTTGTGTTTAGGGAACCAAATAGCTAGGTATTTAGCAGTCATTAAGTTTACCTGTAGTTAGAATTGCTTTTAAAACTTGTGCTTTATATTATTTCTTAAAATTTTACACTAATTCAAGATCAGATTATCTTGAGATTGGATTATACCGCTGTCAAACACATTGTATAATATTTTGCTAGCTGTCATTGTGGTGATGAGTTCCTCTTAGAATTTAGGGTCAGACAAAAAAATGCCATTCCTTATTAATTTTTTTAGTCTTTCACAGTTTGAGAACTGGATAGAGGTCTTTAATTGCTAGGAAGTTCAGAGCTTCATTATATTTTCCACAGACAGGTTTTTTTTGAGGGGAGGTGGAGAGTTGGGGAGATAGAGTTATTAATATAAATTTTTCTTTTCCACTCCCTTTTGATGTAAGAGTTAATAGTAGTCTTTATTGTGACAGTGTTTTTATTATAAACTATTTTTATTGTAAGAATGTGTATTTGTATAACTGTTTAAGTTATTGGTTGTTATTAGAAGAGAAAAGCAAAGGAAAATTTTACTGTATAGACTTACTAGAATGTTAAATGCTTCCCATGGTTTTATCTGAAAAATAGATGGATGCATAAACCTACCTATATACCTCTTAAATTTTTTAATGCTTAGCATTGTTTCCGGGTTAAAAGACCTTTTAAGCCAATTATCTCATCAGAAGCTCAAATTAAATATATTAAAGACAAGTTTTTTCTTTGATCTCTTATGTCCTTGTATCTTATGTTTCATAATACTCATCACATCACTGGTCTCTAAAGAATAAACTCGGAAGTAACTTCTGACATCACTGTTTTCAGGTATTCATATTTAGTTCTTTATGTACAAGGGGAAAGAAGATTTATAACTTAGGATCAGATTTAGCTATATAATGTAGAGAAGAAACCAAATTAACACAGTAGCTTAAATAAGATACTGCTTGTTTTTCTTTCATGTAGAAGTATGAAAGTAGGCAGGCCAGACGCTTCTACTTCACAGCACCAGATTCTTTATGGTATGGCTCTCATCTCCCTGTGCCAAGGTAGCTGCTAAGAGTTCCAGCCATCACAGTCTAGTTTAAGGCAGCAGGATGAGAGTTAAGAGAGGAACTTCACCTTTTTTAAGAAGCCCTCTTAGGCGATTCACACAAAATTTACAATTATTATCTCTCAGGCTAAAATTCTTTCTTATTTTTGAGCCTCCAGGGTTTAAGACATAAAATCATCATCCTTTATAGGGAGTGTATTAGTTCATTTTCATGCTGATAATAAAGACATACCTGAGACTGGGCAATTTACAAAAGAAAGAGGTTTAATGGACTCACAGTTCCATATGACTGGGAGGTCTCACAATCATGGCAGAAGGCAAAAGGCACGTCTCACATGGTGGCAACAAGAGAAGAGAATGATAGCCAAGTGAAAGGGGTTTCCCCACATGAAACCATCACATCTCATGAGACTCATTCACTACCACGAGAACAGTATGGGGGAACCACCCCCATGATTCAGTTATCTCCCACTGGATCCCTCCCACAACACGGGAGAATTATGGGAGTTACAATTCAAGATGAGATTTGGGTGGGGAGACAATGAAACCGTCAGGGAGGGTCAGTTACCCAGGTTTGGATCATGTTGCTGTTCTTGAGGAGCTTCACAAATCTGTTCTTAACCATGCTTTCTAGAATACAGACTCCAAGATTCTGTAGAGCATCTGGGACCAGTGATTATAGAATATCCCTGCTTCCAAGATCCCATAAGCAGGGCTCACAGAAGAAAGCTTGAATGCTGCTTATTATTTTCCATTGACTTGAAGAAAGAAAGTATTTCAGTTTTGCTTTGTTAGAAATCAAGGGCTTAAAAAACTATTTATTTACAAGCATACATAACAGTAAAGAGCAGAGTTTCATGAACCCCCATGTCAACTCATGACCAGTCTTGTTTTATTTATACCCTGACTTATTCCCTACTCCCTCCCACCTGTGGTTATTCTGAAGCAAATTCCAAACCGCATATCATTTTATCTATATAGTCTTCAGTATATATCTCTAAAAGATAAGGATTCTTAAAATAATAAAAGAAAATATTGTGAACACAATTAAAAATGAATGGTTATGCCTAACTATCAGTAACTATCCCATCAGTGTTCAAATTTCCATAGTTGCTCCTTGTAAATGATTTTTTTTTTTTTTTTTTT